TATTTATTTTACTCATTTTTTATTTATTTTACTCATTTTTTATTTATTTTACCCATTTATTTATTTATTTAATTTTGGCTGAAATGGCTCTCCATATCCTGGATGGAATGACGCACCACGTGACTCTGTTGTACAATGTACATTTTTATTACGAAGATCGACAGGGAAAGGGTCTTTTTTTTTTCTTTTGGAACTCGGAAAGTCTGCTCCCAAATGCATTTAACATAACGATCGCTCTTTGTAAATAATCACCGTTAAGCGTGCGATCGAAAAAAAAAAAAAAAAAAACAAAACGGAACGTGCTTAACGTGCCCCTTATCTGGGCAACACACAGAGTGCAATAAAACGCAACCTGCAGTTATAAAAATAACGCAGTAGCCTTTTGAAAAGGTAAAGTATATAAAATTAAATTAGTACGCTAATTAGCTAATATAGCAAGACTTCCCTGGAAATATCTTTCCACATGACCGTATTTTTCGGACTATTAGCCACTACTTTTCCCCCACGCTTTGAACCATGCAGCTTATAGCCCGGTGCGGCTATGTACGTTTTCTGTCATGATCCGTGTTTTTCTGTATAGTTATTTTGAGATTTTCTGTGTTTAGTCCTGTTCCCCTGAGTCTCTGTGTTGTCCTGTTAGCCCTTGATTGTTCCCATGTGTGTCTCGTTCTCTTGATTACCCCCGTGTGTATTTATATCCACCTGTTGTCTCTGTCTCTTGTCGGGTCCTTGTCTTATGTCTGTTAGTTCGTCTGCCGGCACAGTAGTACTGTGAAGTCCTGTGTCGGCATTTGCTCGTTTTTGTCAGTCTCGCTAATTCAGTTGCTACCGGTCCTGGGCCTCTGTGTTCCGCTCTGCCGTGCTGCCTGTAATTTGGACTGTTGAGCATTTTCATTAAATTCATTGTTTTCATCAACATCCTGGGTCTACCTGCGTCTCTCCTCACCCCCAACCCCCACAACTTATGACAGTTTCCAGTTTCTTTTTAAGTTTTTTTTTTTTTTTTAATTTGTGGCCAAGTATTCTATGGACCTTTTTTGTGTCTAGAATAAAGATATGATTGGTTGGTTGATATGATTATCAACAATTTGTGAATAGAGCAAAACACTTAGCATTCTATAGGTAAATATTATTTAGTTTGATTAAGAATAATTATTGCACTGTCAATAAATGACAATAAATAGATGTTCGTAGTTGCCAAAGGAACACAATAACACCTTCATGAGCTCAGAGGTTCAAACTGATGAATAAAGAGGATGGATGCCCTCTGCTAAAATATTTCTTGCCATCTTTCATGTTCTTTCAGCAAACAGTTGAGACAGAGCTGTTTTTGGTTTCACCACTATTTACCTACTATTTTACCTGCCATTCAAAGTATTCTTAAAAGATTGTCTGTTAGTCTGCAGCTCATGTGACCAAACCAGCCGAGATTAAAAGTTAAAACTTGAGTTAAAATGTTGTTTTAACTTGAGATGAGTTAAAACTCAATTTAAAATGTTTAGTTTTAACATTTTAACTCAACAACCTCTACCTAACTAGAGGTTGCACACAACCTCAAGTTGGGTAACACCCAGGTCTTCTTTTTTAAGAAGACCTGGGTGTTACCCAACTTGAGGTAGAGTCTTTGAGAACGGTTCTTAAAAATATAGTCATTATTTTCAGCAAAGTTGAGCTGACTGTCCAGGAATGACACAAGGAATTTAAAATTTGCCACAGTTTCAACAGGTTGGCCATCAAGTGAAACTCACTTTCAGTTATCTCATTTAATTAGCTCTACTTCCTTAAGAAAATGAAAAAAATATGTTGTTTTATAAGATAATTTATCTTTTATGGTACCAGTAATGCCAGAATTAATAGTAAATAAAAAGACGTGGTACTCTGATTTAGTAATTTAATTATATTAGTTGTGTTACCACCCCCACGCTACCAGAGGCAGTCGCAACCCGAAAAGATGCGACTAAGGAGCAAATTTAGAAGTACACCGAAAGCTACAGAATTTGCTAAAAACTGTGAGCTGCCGTGAAGTAAATAAAAGAAAGAAGTTCAAATACATTCTGAGAGTGAAACTCCTTCCTAAAGGTGAAAATGTATCACAGATTTAAAAAGAAAATAAAAACTGAAGCATAGGAAATAGCGTCCCCTTCACTTCCGGATTGCAATTTCCAAATAAGGTATGAGACTGACAAGTGGTCCGTCCCCGCCCCTTTCTGTTTGCTGCAGTGAGGAAATATTGAAAGTTAATATTTATTCTACACTTTTTTATTCTACATTTTTATAGCATTGGAAAACTTTAAGAATGACTGTGTCATGTTTGTCCTCCTACAGAAACTATATTAAAACAAAAAATATATTTCCTACCCCCATCTTTTTCAATTTTCAAACATTTTTGAAAAAAACTCCAGAGAGCCACTAGAGCAGCGCTAAAGAGCCGTATGCGGCTCTAGAGCCGCGGGTTGCCGACCCCTGTTCTGGACCAATACGTGGGACTGGAAGACAGAATTTGTTGTTCTAACGGAAACTAGACAGAATTTTGCATTAATGGAATTAAACTTGTGGTTTCAATACATACTTCAGCAGTACTTATGATACAAAACAATGGAACAATGGAGCAGCTTCAAATACCACTCCATTTTGACCACACACCTTAAGTGGGTTAAAATCCAAAGATAATATTTTAGTGTCACAGAGTTTTCAGGGATACATTCAAATAATAATAATAAATGACTTCCAGAGAGAGAGGCTTGGTATATATGGCCTAATCAAAGTCCAGAACCAAATCTAACAGATATGTTGTGGGTCTCCTGAAGAGGTCTGTGGATCAGATGTTTCACAATCTGAAATCTATGAGGAGAAAGGCTGGCCTCATCAGGGGTGTGCAGACTTACAGGTGATCAAACTTTAGCTGTGTCCTTATCCGTTTCGTAAGAAGCCGTGCGCGCGCACATCCTGACTCCTCCTCGACAGTGGTCCTGATGCTAGTTCTCGGGGACGCGCATTACGTCACCTCTCGCTGCGTGGGTCACCTCGCTGCCCGCATCCAGCGCCAGGCTCTGCATCCTGTAAGGCCCGTCCTGCCACCACCATCATCTTTATCATCCTCCTCATCTTCACCACAGCGGCTCATCCTCCCTTTTTCTTACGGAAACAGTTCGCGTACGCGAGCGCGTGTTGTCCACCTTGCGCTGGCGGAGAGTTGCGATAATGGCCGAAAGCGAGGCAGACACGCCGAGCACACCGATCGAGTTTGAGAGTAAATACTTCGAGTTTGACGGAGTGCGGCTGCCGCCCTTCTGCAGAGGGAAGATGGAGGACATCTCTAACTTCTCCCTGAGAAGTAGCGACATATGGATCGTCACCTACCCGAAATCAGGTAAACGAACCTCCTGCACGGTGGTTGTTGCTGCTTTAACTTATGGTTGTGCTGGCTCTGCAGCTTCATTTATGTAATGTTGTCAAAGCTTAAAAATAACAGTGCACATAAATGGTTGTGATGTCGTTTTGTCAAGTCTATGATTTACAATGTAAGTTGTAAATCTGCTCTTAATTGTTTTTATCCACATGTGCAGCAGAAATGGGTTTTAGAGTTCTCTCACAGCATTTTACAGTCTGCAGGTTGTTTCTTAATCACCTGCCAGCAAGTGAGTGAGTCACATCACATAAATGGATTAAACTCTGGTTGCAACACATTACAGCCCACACCGTCTCCTGTGGTCTGTGTCATCCAGTTCAGCCACAGGCACAGCTGAGCTGGTTGGTCTTTACATGTCAAGCTGTGCAGGGTGTGGGCTGCAGAGCAGACAGTCACAGAGGAATGGTCGGTGTGTGGTGAACAGAGCAAGAGAGGTGGATGATTTCTCTGATAAACTGACTGGTTAGAACACAGGGTGTCAGAGATTCAAATACTGGGAAAATTTAAGGAAAAATCAGCTGGAGTCTCACCAAATACTAAAAATATGTCATAATTCGGTCCTCTGGTAGGAAAATGATCCAAAACATAAAACCTAACCAAGCCTGCCCTATGCATTGACTTACCTCTCATTACAGGCCAGCCCCCCAACCCCATTTTATAAACCTTTAATGTTTTCTGTCAATCATCTTATATTTTCATTTATGGCTGCTGATTGATCAAAATTAAATGTGACATGCATGACCAATGTGCATTGTCCTTTTACAGATTAAGGAGACTTAGAAAACGATGGGAATGAAATTGGAAAGTGTCTGTCATTAAAGAAAAATGGTTTGTGAGCAGGAGTTTAGTGATAAAGAGTCACTCTAAAACTAAAGCTGTTCAAATTCTTCAAATTGACTAATATAGAAGTTGGACCCTTCATCTCAGGCCAAAGCTCTGCCATCTGAGGAGGGACTGCACAGCAAATAAATGAGTAAACCCAAAGCAAAATAGACCTAAAAAAAAAACTACAATAGAAAACTTTTGACATAAAAGTTGTATTTAACCTGTTGTTCACAGGTTGTCATTCACAATGACAGGGGTGTCAAACTCCAGTCCTCTGCTGTCCTGCAGTGTTTAGATGTGCCACAGGTAAAAAACAGTGGAATGAAATGGCTTCATTACCTCCTCCCTGTGTAGATCGGTTCTCCTGAGCCTTGCTAATGACCTAATTATTCTTTTCAGGTGTGGTGCAGCAGAGGCACATCTAAAAGTTGCAGGACAGAGGCCCTTGAGGACTGGAGTTTGACACCCCTGTCACGAGAGGACCCAAATTTGGGTCCTCTCGTGAATGACAGGTTAAGGATAATATTTTCAGATTTTTTTTTCAGTTGCTTAAAAATTGTAAATTTCTTCAAAAAGATTGTTATTGAGAAATACATAGGACAAAATTACTATGTGAGAGGGGCTGTCGTCCTGGGGCCCAGGGGCCCATCCCAACACTGAGGTGGCCCTGGGCCCAGCCAACACAGAAATGGTTCAGCAGAAACAGAAATCATCTCAGTTAGACTGAAAACTTCAGGAGGCCTGCTGGCTGCTAACCCTGAGGTTCACCATTAAGATAAAACTGTCAGAATCAGACTCAAAAGTTTAAACTGAATTTAATTAGTCACAGTTCTCCATGACACAGTGTTCAATTATAAAGACCTTTATGGAATAATATATACAGGTTTACTTCCTGCAGGCACAGAACCTGGATGCTGACCCTCAGCTATAAAGAAGCCATCCCTTCTTGGAGGCATGAACTCTAATGAATGTTTTCCTGTGATGTATGCAATGTTCCAGTTCGATGCTATGAAGCTAACCAGAAATCCCCTGCGCCGTAAACAACCATTCTCCACTATGAAGTCCTGATCTAAGTGAGGCGGGTGTTGATGTTGTCAATATTTGGAAGTGTGGCCAGCACAGACTGAATGGCTTCGTTCACTTCCTCCTCTGCCATTACTAAAACTACAGTTAGACTATAATTCTAAAACAGAGCAGAAAATCAACGTCATCATTCACAACTTCTCCTTCTGTTCACTGATTAGCCCGGTCAAATATCAACTAGAGAGAATCTGAGTCAATGGGAGAAAGCCCAGACTGTGTTAGAAGTCAGATTGTTTTCAAGAGGAGTTGCACAGGATTGCAATGGCCACGCTAAGTAATTACCAATATGAACATTTTTGCATGAAAGTTGACATTGATTCTGACTCAAACTTTGAATTAATGCTTTTGGTCTAATCCTGTATTTATGCCAGGTCTACTGAATAAAGGATCAACAATGAAGAAATATTCCCAGTGTTCTGTTATGCAAGCCAAGGGAGACAGAGAGTTCAAAGAAATAACATCCAAGCTGTTTTTCTCAGTCTCAGATGTTTGTGGCATTTATTTAGGTCTCCAGGGCAAAAGTAGAGGGCAGATCATTCTGAGAAGAGATTTCAAAAACACAAGTTTCATAAGTGTGACATGTGTGGGTTATAGTTCAAGACATGTGCTTGAACAGAACTTGTTGACCTCAGCAGCTTTTCCACTGTTTTCCATTCATTCTGTTATAGTTATGTGATAACCTTATTTAACCAAGCTCCATGTTTCATGGTTTTGTGTCACTTTGTGCATCAGTTGTACAAGATTGAGTGAGCCTGTCTCTCATCTTGACCTGAGATAAGTAATGAACACATGACCAGCCCCGTGTTTGGGACTCTGCAGAGCTTTCTGATGCCAGCAGCTCACTTGTGACTGTCTTAGCCATTAGTAATACCAATATTTTATAACCAGAAGAAGAGAGAGAGTACTGTTGGTTTACCCTATGAGAGCAGACGGGAAGAAACACACATGCACGCACGCACACACACACTGTTACGACCCAGCTCAGCCAGGGTAAAGGGAAGTAACATTAAATAAACCTAGATGTTAAGGTTCAACAATTTAGAGATTTATTGTTTGGGTTTCCAACAAAAAAAGAAGGAAAAGAAAAAAAAAGAGTAACAATAATCAAAAGGGTAAAACTTGCAGCCAATACGTACTAAATAAACAAAATTCACAAACTATCAGAGCTGTGAGACAAAACTTAATCACACTTTACGTCCAGATTAAACAAACAAAATAAGCTACAAGTCTGGTGTAGCGTTACAAATCCCCACAGGGTAAAAACTGTTGAAGCAGTCAAAAGTTAAAGCCAAAGTAGACCACAACTTTCTAGTAGCAGTACAACCCCCCCCCCCACAGGATCAAACCTATCACAATTTATAGAAAAGCTCACAAAATACAACCAGTTCACAGCAACCCCACACACACCCAACAAAGTGGCAAGCTGTCTCAACAAAGAAACTAAGCGGGCCTTCTCCTTGGAAGTCCTTGGTTTTAAAAGTGAGGCCTCAACAGCAATTGGTGGAGCCGGCAATTGATGACCCAATCACAGTAGGCCTCAGGGTGTGGCACAGGACAACAGGGCAACACCCACTTCCAGGTGAAGTCAGTCTGATTAGCCACTGCCAAAGAAAAAAAAAACAAACAGAAAAGGCCACTGTCCTTAACACACACACACCTTTGTTGTGGAATAGCAAAATAACATGACTCGCATGCAATATGCTGACACGCTGTGCTATAAAAAATATTTGCCCCATTTCTTGTTTTCATTGTTGTTTCACCCAAAGGCTTCAGATTATTGACCCTATTTTGATACTAGGCAAATATTGATTTTTGGAAGTGAAGTTCACTTTTGCCATCCCAGCCAGGTCTTCTTACATCCAGCCCTGTAGATTCAAGGAATCACTTAAATAGAACAGCTCTGATAACTGAAGTGGGCTGTGTCAAAAATCAAACCATCATGCTCTGATCTGAACTAATTCAAGATACATGAAAGCTAACTGGCATGTATCAGTCTAAAAATAGTTACAAAGTAATTGCTAAGGTTTTGAGACTCCAGAGAAACACGGTAACAAAAGAAGCACAACAAGATTTAAAGCTCTGCAGGCCTTCTGATGTTTATGGTTCATCAATCAGAAAGAGGCTGGACTGCTAACCAAAGCCTTTTTCTTAATCTCTCTCTTTTTAAACAGAATCAACTAAAAAGGCATTATTGCCTATGCATTAGATCATAATAAAGTTTACAGTGGACCCTTCCTTTTCACCCTGTGAGGGTTCTCACATTAACCAGCCAGAGAGACGCTGAGTGGAATTCAAAAATAATCTTAATTTATTACAAAAAAGTTTAAAAATAAACAATGAAGAATTGGGCCCAAAACTGAGGTCAACATAACAAACTACAACTCGGGTGGTAACACAAAGAACTCAAGCACAAAACTGACCTCCCAAACAAGACAAAAGGGAAACTTAAAAAGTGGCTGATCAGACCACAACTGACACACAAGGGGTAATTTAAACATACAAAAACTTAAATACTAATCAATACAATACCAAATCTTTAAATTAAAACAGACTGAAACTACCAAATAGAAGAAAACATTAAAGAAATGGTCAAATTAAATTAAAGAAAACCAAATTTCCCCGTCCCCTGGCAAACAAATGGAACGGCCTGCTGAGGAGGTTTTGCCAGCCATATATGGATGTCAATTAGCTGGAGCTCTTCTGTGACCCTCCAGCAGCAGCTCCAAAGGAAACTGGTAACTCGAAACAAATAAATTAATTTGTTGCTTTTAACAAAAATATAAAGAACTGACAAATAAAGTTAACTAAATGTGTGCACTCCAAATAGTTAACCAAAAAGTCAGACTAATGAAAATAATTTTTAATAAAAATCTAAACTATTCACTAATTAATGTCTAAATTAATGTAAAGGATAAACAAACAAAATGATTACCATTCTGGTCTGTCTGACAGTACGGTCAGCTGTCACACACCCATTCAGGGAATTTCTGTGCAACATGGCTCAAAATTATCAGTGGAAAATTTGCATTGACACATTTTTTCCATAGCATCCTGAACATACAGGGAAACATAGAAAGCTAACAAAATAATCTAAACCCGTTTCTAATTATATCGCCACAAACTAAAAGCTCTGGAGATTCAGGCATGTGTAGAAAAAATATTTTTAAGCCACCTGTCATCATTACAGTAAAATAAACAAATCATTAACATTTACTTACATAAGCAAAGATAAATACTTATGTTATATTTTGTGTCCCTCCACTGCGTAATATGGAATCTTAAGTTGATATGCGTTAGTAGACTGGCCACAGCAAAAGTCAGAACAAGTCTCGAGGGCATTGTGAGTTCTTTACAGATTCTATACAGAAGTGTTGAGCTTTTCAATGGAAATAAAAAATGAAAAAGATATGGTCATTTGAATATCGGCACTATCCAATCTATCTTTTTGAGAAAACAACTTTCAAAGTTTTCCCCAAACTCGCTCTGCAACCGGGGGACGCCAGTGGAATCCACAATGATAGATGTGTGAAGAGCGATTCAGAGACCATATGCTGACTATTTCCCCTGCCCAAAACAACAATGCCTGCTGGCTCAAATTACTCTGGAAACCAGCTGAATTCAAACACAAAGTTTACTATTTTAAAACCTCCAAAACTGTTATATGAAGCATGGGATGGTTTCTTTATATATTCAACTAATATATTCTGCAAAAAAGTGGAAAAAACCCTCTCAGGAATGTATGTCTTTTTCTTCTTTTTCTCTGTTGTGCTCAGCTGATTTGTTCCCACTTTCTTATTTTGACCATAATTTTATTCACCCTGGAATTTTAAACTGTTGATATTCAGAGCTGCTTTTACCAGAGATTCATGTTCATTAGCTCAGACATCAGTAGTTATAAGACCTTTCAATGCATCCTGTGAGTATCAGTCATGAGCAATAGATAATTACAGAAACAGTATCTGTAGGAATGGGGGAGAATTTATTTAGGGGCTGATAGCAGACGCCTATCTTTATCCTGTTATCTTATGAACTGCTGGACTTAAGCAGTTCTTCAGTCAGTTGACTGAGATGAAATTTCTCTTTATCATATCAGCTTTGCACATGAGGTCACAGCAGACTCATTTAACCTTTGGAGTAAGGTGCAGCTTATACGACTCCATGTACATATATCTCGTCATTTATTCTTTTGCTGTGTTGCAAAAAAATAAAAAAATAAACAGGAATGTTTGAAGTTTAAGTGCTTTTGGTTCATACTCTAGATCAGGGGTTCCCAAACTTTTTGAGAGCAAGATCTACTTTTTCTCTCACCAGGCACCTGAGATCTACCTCATTACACAAAGACATACAAATTGCAAATTAAACTCTATTGACTTATTTTATATGCGAATATACATCAGTTGTAGTAGAAATAATAAAGTAACAGAAAACCTTCCGCAGTTTTTTACTCATTGAGATTCTGACACTGGGAGGAGGGTAATGGTTGTTCACAAGACCCTTAAATAGTTTGAGTTTGGTGTTGAGCATTACTCTTTGTATTATGTGTTTTCTGTTCAGTGTTACTTTTGTCCCTTAAAGCAAAAGTAACGCCCTAACTATGGTATCGTAGTTAGGGCAGTGATGTCGTCGACACCTTGCCATAGCCAACGTTGCTGATATCTGGTGGGGAAGATGGGTAACCTAACCACTGTGCTAATACGTGGGAAAGACTTGCAAGATATGTGTTCTCCTTATAAGTGTGCGCTATTGATGAGTAAGTTGCAATGTTTGAGTGTTTACTGCAGCT